ACAAAAATCATTATAATGAAAGGTTGAAGAAGAGAGAAAAAAAAAAAGGTAGAAAATGTAGTAGAATTTGGTAGAAAAAACCATAACTGCCACCTAATTTTCCTTTTTTTTTTAATGTTTACACAACCTTTAAATGGTGATAAGCAAGAAGTAAACCTAAAGTTAATTTTTTTTTTTTTTGATTATATTAGCAGAAGAGATTTTGAATGAATTGTGTTGTTTGAAATGATTTTTTGATCGATCGATTGATTTATTTTTTTTTTCAAAACGTCTTTATTTAAACTACCATTAGTTTGCACTTTTTTTTTTCTTTTGTCATAAATTTTGTTCCTTAATCATTTTTTTTTTTTTTTTTATATTCATAATAACGAACTAATAAAAAAATTTTTTTTATTCTCAACGTTCGAAAAAAGGTTGTTTTTAAACACAACAAAAAAGAAATTTTTTTTTTTCTCCTTAGATTAATATTTTAGTAGAAAACTTTTTTTTTATTTTACGCTTAAATGTTTATTAAAAATGAGAGAAGAAGAAGGTTTTTCGTGAAATTAGTAAGAAAATGGAGGGAAAATCAGGTATTGGATAATATTCGGGTATTTTTGAGTAGGAAATGAGCCTTCGATTAACAAATCGATTTTATTTAAAATAAAAAGTACCCGAATTAAACGAATAAAAAAAAATTCGGCGGTTTTTTATTTAGTTAAATTAAAGAGGAAATGCGTTCTTTTAAATAAGTATCAGAAATTTCGAGAAAAGAAAATTTAAAAGGGAAAATTTAATGAATGAATAACCCCCCACGCGCCCAGCACACTTCATACGAATAAATTTGGCCACCTGGTGACCACAGTTGGTGAGCGCAAGTTTTTACGCCGGAACCTTCCACACACACACAATAAGGGAAATAAAGGTTGTGTTTTTGTTTTTTTTTTTTTTTTTTGTCAAATTGGGGGGGCAGGTGCAAAACCAAAAAAATTAAGTAATGTATTCGACATCGCAATTACATAAAAAAAATATTAAAGAAAATTATTATTGTTTTTTTTTATAAATAATCATTCCTACAAAACGTTATGAAATTTTGTTTATATAATTTTTTGTTAAAAACCAATTTCCCCCCCCTCTCCCCCCTTATTATGTCGAATCAAAATTTTTATTTTGACGCCAAGTCATTAATATTAACAATAAATTTTTGCATTAAGTGCTTTCGAAAAACCTTTTAAATCTTTTGTAAAAATTTTTTGCTTTTTTTAAACAAAAAACGATGAGTTCCAATTTTTATAAAAAATTATAACAATAACGTGTTAAAAATTGTTAAAAACAAACAAACAAACAAACAAACAAAAGTCATTAAATAATTTAAAACAAAATTAAATATTATTTACATGAACGTTTATTGTAGTACTTTTACATTATTATTATTATTATTATTGGAACGATTAAATTTTTTTTTTTTATAAAAAATAAACGTGAAGTATATGTGATGGGGGTAGTCGTGAAAGGGGATGAAACAACATATGGATCGTAGGAAATTTTAAAAAAAAAAGTTAAACATGGAGGATGAAACATATAAAAATTCACAAAAAGGTTTTTTTTTTTTTTTAACACCGCCAAGTGTACTTTTTTGTCCTTACAATCAAGGTTTCTTAATTATTATTATTATTATTATTTGTTTTTTAAAAGCTCCCAACTACTTACATAACTTTTTTCTCCCTTTTTACTAGGTTTTTATTAATTGATCGATGGGAAAATTTAATTATCATTTAATAAAGATATCAAATTAAAAAAAAAACGGCAAAAATAAAAGAAGATTCGAAAACTAAATTTTTTTTTTTATAATAAATGTACGCCCACGTGTAATAATTTATCAAAAAAAAATATAAATTAAAACTCTTTTATTTTGACCTAAAGCTGTACCTGCCCCTCCCCCCTCTCGTTTTGTTTAGTATAAAATATTTGCAAAATGTTCGATAATTAAAAGATTTTAGTAATAATTTCGAATTGGAAACAATTAATCCTCTTTTTCGAACGACGCCACCCATAAAGTTACCCCAAAAAAAATTTTTTTTTTTTTTTTTTTATAGGGGAGGAGGGTAGAGTTTATTCAATACGTCAAAGAAAAAAATTTTTATTTTAATTTATTAGGGTTGTTTGAAATTTTTTCATTTTTTGGCAAAAATATCAAAGAATTTTATTATTTATTATTATTTATTATTATTTTATTATTATTATTTTGCTACCGGAAAACCTGTTAAAATAACTCACGAAGTTATGTAAACAAACAAACGGACACACGTGGGATAGAGTGAGGGAGGGGGTATTTAAATAAATTTTTGTGAAATTTTTCTCATTTTCATTAAATTTAATTAATTATCTTAATAATAATGATAATGATAAAATGGAAAATTATTTATTATTTCCCGTTTCGTTAGTTAAAACACGCGCGTACCGCCTTATAAAAAGAAAATTATTATTATTATTATTATTATTATTATTAAATCTAATTAATGAGACCACCAACCACCATCCGATGAAAAATTATTTTTAACCACCATTTTTTTTTTTTTTTTAAATTGAATTTTAAATCTATTAATTATAAATTTTAAAAGGTGATGAGAAAAATTAATACAACACCGTTGAGAAAATAAGAAAGGATTTATTATTATTATTATTATTATTATTATTAACAAATGAATTTTGTTAAAGAGTGAGAGAGAGGAAGAGAGAGAATTATTAACAAAACCTCCATTTTTTTTCTTTTTTATTATATCATTGGGGTTTTTTTTAATAAAGATTTGGGTCCCTCATGATTTCGGACCATGGTCGGATCCACACCCCCCCATTTATAGTAATGACAGCTCCTCATTCACCACTCATTTTATTTTTTTAATCAGATCAAATTTATTATGAAAACGTATAATTTGCAATCATTTTTTTTTGAATAAATATATTTTATTATTATTATTATTATGTTTTAAAAGTAATTTATTATTATTATCGGTTTAATTAAATTTAAAAAAAAATTTATAATCTCTCATTTAAAAGGGGGGGGGGGGAAAAAGGTTTAAATAATAAAATGTAAAACGAAATCACGAAAGGTTTGAATATACACTTAATAATAATAATTTTTTTTCTTGGGGGGTAGGGGGGATGGGAAATTTTTGCATGCAATTTTAGTTTGCTAAAGGTGGATCGTCATGAATTAATTTTTAAACATAAATTAACATAATTTTGTTTGTTTTTCTGGTGAAAGTGAAACTTTTTAAAAAAAATGTTTGTTTAACCGTCAATTTACAGAAAAAAAGGTTTTAAGGTACGTTTAAAAATATTCAAATGTTTTTTTATTTTTTTTTTATGATAAAATATTATATTACAGATCGCACGAATGTTTTGTAGTTATATGTTTAGCTTACGTACGAGAAAAAATTAATTTTATCAAGGTTTTTTTTATATTAAAAAAAAAAATGGAAATTTTCCACGGCGTAAATTTTTTAAACGGATTTAAAATTAAGTTAATTATAAAAATCGTGTTTAGGTTCGCCCCCAAAAAGGGTTGAAAGGGGTCAAAGAAATTGTGTAATAAAGACAATATGAGAATATAAGGTCAACCTTTTTTTTTTTTTTTTTCTAATACATAAATGTCGTAATTTTTTAAATTGTCAGTTTTTTTTTTTTGTTCAGGTTAAATAAGGTTTACGCCTGTTATGTCGAATGAAATTTTCTTTCCTTTTTCTTTACGAGAAATGACGTGAAAATTTTTCTTTTTTGAAATCCTCCCATTCGATAATTAAGTAAAAGCAAAAGAAAATTTGATGACAGTTGATTGAAATGAACCTTTTTTTTTTTTTTTTTTGAAAATGTCGGACACGTACCTTTATTTAAACTATATTAAAAAATAATAAAAATGATTTGCATACTTTTGTTGGGGAGGGGAGTGGAGCAGGAAAATTTAATAAACGGTTTTTATATCTATAATTCGAAACGATTATTAAAAAAAATTAATAACAATTTAGAAAAAAAGGTAAAATGAAGGGTTATTGCAAAATCACTTTCTATAAATGATGTCGGAATATGTCAAAGAAACTTAGTAATTAGGGTGTCATTTGAATCAAAAAATGATTTGCTAAATATAGGCATTTTAAGGTATAGGTATAAAGTATAGGGGTGGACATTTCCTGTCAAAAATTTTTTTTGCAAAAGTGGATCACTACTATTATAGACATTTTACTTCTAACCTTCTTTTATTTTATTTAATAATTGTGGATATTAAAAGATTTTTAAAAGTCTATCAAATTTTTTCTGACAGTTGGATAATAATTAAAATGATAAAAAAAAATTTTTCTTTTCAAGGTAAAAAAGTATTATTATTATTATTATTAATGTTTGTGATAACAAAAAAAAAAAAAAATTTTTTTTTTTTTAAAGTAATTTGATTTACTAATCATGTCGGGAGCATAAACAGAAAAAAGAAAAATTTGATTAATTGGATATTAAAGGCCACACGTTTACCGTTTCCCACAAAGGATGGTCCATTAAAATTCAACCCCCTCGTATCATATCAACCCCATCAAAAACCACTATTAGCGTCAAGAGTGATTGCTTTAATTTCTCAAAGAAAAAAACCTTTTTTTTTTTTTTTTTACTTTAAAAAAAAAAATTTTTTTGTTAAATAAAGCATAATGGAAAATAACAAAATAAATTAAATTTTCCGTAAATATTTTGTTTTTCATAACAAAAAAAGTAAACAATCGTTTGTTTACAGTTTTCCGTTTTTCTTTTTTTTTTTATGATTTACTTGTGTTAATTAAGATAAAAAGAAAATTTTTTAAAACAAAAAGGATACAACTAAAGTTTTCTGTTTTAAAATAAATATAATAATTTATTTAATTATTAATAATATAATATAATAATAATAATATTGGACGGTTATATTTTATATATATATTTATAAATTAAATATAAATTTTATCGTTGTAAAATTTTATTTTTTTTTTCAGGTACGCTTTTTTTTACGAATTTTGAAAATGATGAATTGGATGATTTAAATGAGACAAATCGGGAGGATTTTTATTGAAATTTTCAATTTCTTTCATTCCTTTTTCTGCAATTTCCCAAAGTTCTGGATATTCTTTTTTAAATCTGGAATACCATTCGACGACCTGGAAAAGTAAAAAAGGGTAAGTGATTTTTTTTTATTATTAAAACCCAAACGTTTATTAACATTTGATCACGTGGGTTATATACCTTGGTATATGGAGAAAAATCAAAATTGATGGCTTCCAAACAAATTGTCGCGGTAATCAATTGAAAATCCGCAATCGTCAAATTATCTAAAAAAATATTTTATTAAAATAATAATATTAATAAAATAAATTTTTCCCTTTTCGATATTTTTAATTAAAATTAATTAAAATACCATCGGCAGAATATTTTTTGTTCAGTTTCTTCAGATAAGTGTTAAAAACATCAAGAGCCATGTTAACTTTTTTTAACGTTAATGGAGTTCTTTTATATTTGTAAAATATTGGCAACATCTATGTAAAAAAAAAAATTATTAATTAATTAATTGCGTGACGTCATACAAACATAAATTGAAAATCAATAAAACATAATAATAATACATACCACATGCTGACCTATATTACTGTAGTACGTAGATAAATTAAATGCCAGCCTATGATTGACCAAGGCACGTTTTTTCGGGTCTTGAGGATATAGTGTATCATCTTTTGGATAACGATCTGCCAAATACTGGAGTATGGCATTGCTGGAAAAACAAATGAAAGGTGTGAAAGAATGCATACCATATTCTTATCACCTTATTATGGGGAGGATAAGAAAAAAAATAATAATAAAATAAATACCTTTCGCTTAAAAAGAAACCATCGTCATCCAAAACTGGAATTTCTTTTTGCGGATTCATGTTGGCATAATTTTCCGTCGTATGAAAACCAGATAAAAAATCAACGTTTATCAATTCGTATTCTTTACCTAAATATTTTAATGCCATTCTCACAGCCAATGAAGGTGGTCCATCAGAAACGGAATACAATTTAAGCACCATTTTTATTTTAAAAAATATATATTTATAATAATAATAATAGTAGTAAAAAATATGCTCGTATATTTATTTGTAAATAAATAAATTTTTAAAACAAAATTCAATTTCACCAACTGGATTACTTTCAATTCAAGTCAAAGAAAAAAAAGTGGAACACTTGTTTCCGGTCGTGGAAAAAGGGCCTAAAATTTAATAATTTTCCATTAGTTTATTTCCTTTTGTTTTTTTTTTTTTTCCAATTGGAATTTAGATGGCGTTGAAACCAGTTTAAGACTTTTTCATTTATATTATTTCAAACCTTTTTTTCTTGTTCATAAACGCGGTGAAAAATATTTTTTATTTATTATTAAAAACGGTGAAAATTTTAACAGGGCATTAATTTATTTTCTATAATTTCAATCAATCTTGCATTGGTTCTAAATTCATGTTAGGTAAAAACGAAGACATGACTCCAGCACCTGATTTAAATTCATTTATTTATAAATAAAAAAAATTTATTTGAATATAGTTTAGAGCGATACTTCAAACTCACTTATAAAAAAACAACCAAAGGTAATAAATGACCATTTACAATTTCCTTTGAGAAATAATGATAAAAAAATTAATAATATTTTCGGATAAATTTTTATAAATCCATATGCCGTACTTCTGAAAAGTTTTTTTAACAATTTACGTAAACAAACTCGCTTTTTTTTTTCTTTTTTTTAGTTTTTAGGATATTTATGTGTACCTTAAAACTGTTGGAAAACTTTCTAAAAGTATTATTCGTAAAATAAATTCACATATAAAAAAAGACCCGAGTATGATAAAAGCTAAAATAAGTCGAAATATTTCCAATTCAACAAAAGCAAACGTTAGGGTAGCCAATCCGGCAAGTATGGATGATATCACTGGAAAAAAAAAAAATTTAGAGAGAGAGAGAGACTCCATTTAATAAAAAAATTTTTTTTTTTTTGTATAATTTTACTTGCTTAAAATTATTTTTCTTGGAATTTTATCCGCTATAAATAGAAGAAGAAAAACGATAAATGAGCACAATGAAAAATATGCATTTATTTTAAATAGATTTTCTAATTTGTCTGAATTGCACATTTCATCAAATGAATCTCCAGCAACTGGACAACCTCCATTTAAAGTACAATTATTTAAATTTCCAGAAAATATACCAACGCCTAACCATATGTTTAACATAACCAACCTTGAATAGAAATTTTATTTATCTAGTAAATTAAAACAATAAAAATTTTAATTGTGATCTATTGTATGGGGGGGGGGGTATTACGTGAGTCCCTATTATTATTATTATTATAAAAATCAATTAAATATTTGATGGTTAATTATTATTAACTTTTTCTTACCCATCAAATAAAAATGTATTTATTAAAATCGATGATAGAGTGGTTGTGATTAATTTTTTTGTAAATAATTGTTTTGTGTATATACGAATGCTTCTAAAACTTCGAGCCATTGGATTTTTACATTGATAAACGTGAGATTCTGATCTCGTATTTACATAAGTAATCGGGTCCAAATGAGAAACCTGAATTCAAAATATACGAATCTATACGTAAAAAATTACAGGATGAAGATTAATAAGGAGGAAAATTATTTTATCATGTCGTACCGGAAAAGATTCTTCGTGTTTAACATTATTAACAGCGTAGATTTTCCGTAGAATATCAAGAGCATCTTCTTCTTGTTTTTTTCCCAACAACCATCTTGGACTTGCGGGAAACACAGACATGAGACAAGCGCTAAAAATGCTCAATGATCCACTTAAACCGAATAAAACTCTCCAAGAATTTAATCGGACATAATTTCCTAGTAAATTACGAGCCATGGGAGGCACTAAAAGTCTTGATAAACCTGACAGAAAACGTTTTGTTAAGAATTCGATGTCGATCGATTAATAATCAAATTATTTTAAAATTCTACCGATTGCTAAAGAATATCCGAGTGCTGAAAAAACTTCTAGAATTATAAATCGAGCTCCTCGGCATGATTTGGGTGATATTTCGATTATAAATACTCGAGTCGCACAATGATTTCCTCCTAATCTAACAAAGGAAGGAAATTTTATTGACAATTATTAAACAAAAAAAAAATAAATAAATAAATAAATGATGACAATACTTACCCTAATCCTAACATAAATAAAGAAACGAATAACATAATGACACACTGTGAAAAACTTGCCACAAAACATGCGACAAAAGTTATTATACTAGTCGTGGATAATATATATTTTCTACCGGAATTATCGGATATACCACCTAGCCAATACCCGCTAATCAGAGTACCTGAAAAATTTTAAAACGGGAATCAACAACCAGTTTATTTTTAAGGAAGAATTATTCTTTGAGGAAAACTCATTGCATTACCAGTTAAAAAAGTGGCATTTAAACCAAGAATCTGATGGACGGTAATATCAAGGTCACAAGAGGCTAAAACCATGGCAAAAGGTACAGATGTGGTAGCAATGGCTTCAGCCAAAGTTGCCAATCCGCAAACGATAATTGCAAATTTTTGAAAAATTCCTTCGCCTATTTATATAAAAATAAATCATTAACATAAACGTGATTAATAAAATTTTATGTAAGAAATTTAAGTTAAAATGAAGTTACCAATTTGTTCTAAAACATCATCAAACAACATTTTCTTTGAGTTTTCTTTTTTGTTTTTTTTTTATTTTTATTTTACGTTATTTAAAATAAATAATTTTTTTTTAAATGAAAACATTTACAAGGTGGTAGACTTTCTTCTTCTTATCAGAAGAACTTATTAAATAAATATACATAAATAAATAAATTTAAATCATCTAAACATAATTATTAATCACTTTGCAATTGATATAAATATTTTATTTTTATAATTATTTACTTATTGTATTTAATTCGGTATTTTTTAAAGTTGGCAATGATTAAAATTTGATTTTATAAATAATAATAATAATTTCAAAATAATGAAATACATTTCCATTTTTTTATGTTAAATAATCGGTAAGGTTTTATTCTTATTAAAAAAAAAAAAAATTTGAAAATAATTTGTAAACAATTTTTATTTTTATTTATGTAAATAAAACTGGTTAACAGAACCACAGAAATATAATTAACTAACTACAAAGTTTATTAAAAATGTATGGAGAACGAAAAAAAAAATAATTTTTTGAGCAAAATAATCGACGACAGGATACGACAATCATTTAAAAATAAAATTTTCTTTTTTTTTTTCAGTTAATTTGAAACGGAACGAGTATCACAGTTATACTGTTGCTGTTGTTGCTGTTGTAACCGGTGATGATTTGTCATTTTCCCAAATGGCGAAACCCTTTCTTACGAGTTCTTCGGCTACGTTTATCGTATTTTCACCCTGGATATCGTAAAGTTCTATGCAAGGCACGGGACTTCCTTCCCTCTGACACTTCGTAGGCCTATCTTTGTAAGTATGTATTTTTGCCATTAACGATTTCCATAAAGCAACGTGAGTTAAATCTTCTAATAAATCTATGGATTCATCCGACCAAGTAGATCCACTGGAAAAAAATTTTTTTTTTTTTTTTTCCATAAAAATAAAAACCGACAAAAAAAACTCTTTAAAAAAGGAAAGTCGCATATATTGTGACGGTCATGATTTTTTTTTTGTGCGTAAAAAGATATGAAGTGAAGGAGGAAGAAACAAACAAACAAACAGGATGAGCTTGTTTTTGATTATTATTATTATTATTACACATCAAGTCAAGGCTTGTTGTTGTTCTTTGGGTATTTAATGGCCGGTTTGAAAATTAATAACTTTTAATTGAAAAAAAAAAACGTTTCCAAATTCCCAATATATTGTTTTAACACGTTAAATACTTCGCGACGCCTTTAAAAATTATTATTATCATTATTATTATTATTTCTTCTTTTTTTTTTTTAAAACTTTTAAAGTATCGAACACGCATTTATTATTATTATTATTATTAAATCAACTCGTAAGAAATATTAAACAATAAACAAACGACGACGACTCATTGATATTTTATTTTATCACGATTTAAACAAATATTTAAAAAAAAAAAAATTTCATACCCGTAAACATTTACCGTAAATTTTTCAAACGCACAAAAAAAAAAAACAACAACAATAATAATAATAATAATAATAATAATAATAATAATGATAATGATAATAATAACGACAAGTGCCTGTGGTAGAGACTAATAAATTAAACTCGTTTTATTAACAAATTTCGTCACAATTTTTTTTATAGTGTCGGCGAATTTAATAAAAATTTGCGAAAAAAAATTTTTTTATTTTATTTTATTTATTTATTTATTTGGCAAGTAAGACCAAGTTTAATAAAATTAAAAATTTTTTAAAAGAATGAAACGATGGTAAAATAATAATAATGAATTAAGAGTTTTTAACGTTACATTCAACAAGTGAATTATAACCTTGTTCCACTCTGAACAATCAAAACATTGCCAATTTATCCCGTATTCTCTCTCTCTCTCTCTCTCTCTCTCTCTCTCACTCTCTCTTAGTAAGAAAATTATTTTCGCGACAACCAGACAACAAACTCTACATTTTTTTTTTTTTTTTTTAATGTTTGTTTTTTTAAAATAAAATAAAATAGGAAAGAAAATATATTTAACGGCGCGCGTGTGTGTAATATAATAAGTGAGTAGTAAACGAAATTTTGCGCCTTTTTGTCTCTCTATCTATCTCTCTCTCTCTCATTCGTACGCGAAAGTGTAAATTTTATTAAAAATCAGTTACGAATCCTGTACGCGAGTTTTTTTTTTTTTTTTTGCGGTGAATAAAATGCTTAAAATTAAATAAAAATTTTAAAAAAAATAAAAAAAAAAATCAAACATTTATTTCGTATTGAATGTTTTCATGGCTACGTTTGTTATCGATAAAAAAAAAAAAAAAAAAAACATACATATATGTAGGCATGCCAGTCGCGTTCGTATCTACATATGATAATAATAATAATAACAACACGTATATTCGTTATTGTACCTTTAAACTATGGCAAAATTAAAACGCATTTATTTAACACGAGTTGTAAACAATACACGTATTTATTTGGTGAATTATTATGTTTTTCCTCTACTAAATGATATAGAGGCCATGTTTAATATTGAATAACTTGAAAAAAGAAAGAATCTTGTTTTTTAAAACGAGACAGAGAGAGAGAGGGGAGGAGAGAGAGAGAGATAAACAATAAATTATAAATATTTTAAAAAAACTACCATTTATTTCTTTTTTTGTGGAAAACATAACACTGATTAGCGTCACAAATTACAAGGACTACTAACAACGTTATTTATTTTTTTGTACGTTTCAAATAACTACTAATGGTGGATTTTAATTATGGAAAAATACGTGCGACAAATTTTTTTTTTTTTTTTTTTCCTTGATATTATAAGAAGGAGGAAGTCCTTTGACTTTTTTCGTATAGGAAATTTTTGTAACATTTTTTTTTTTTTTTTTTTTCGTTGGATCTAACAATAATCGTAAATCATCAACCCACATTAAAAAAAAAAATGAACGACGCGTTACGTAAATGAAAATTTTTTTAATTCCATGAATATCGAGTTTGACCTTTTACCCAATCGTAAAAAAACGGTAGTCAACGAACGTAGTTTACTACTACTACCACGATCTTCCAGTAATTTCGAAATGAAACGGATAAAATAAAATTAGTTTTTTTTTGTTTTTTAGTAATGTCAATACCTGGAGAAGGAATCGAAATAATTGTACCTTCGGTATCGGATGCAACGTTTAAATATACGTGGCGTATAAAAAAATACGGAAAGATAAACAAGAAAAAAGATTTTTTCGACAGTTGTCCGTTCGAATATAATGCCAATGGAGAAAAAACAAATTGGAGTTTGTCCATAAGATACTGGAAAGGTGCGGAAGGGAAAAGATTAAACAATCCTGTCGTTTTATGTTTGAATCTTTTAAACAGTGCGGTACGCGAACCTAAACAGGTAAGGAAGGATATTATAAGTTTTTTGTTGTAATTCGAATGCATTTAAAATCGATATCGTGACATTAAAAAAAAAATCATTAGTTTAACACAAAACGAAACGTCCATTTTTTTTTTTTTTTTTTTTTTTTTTTTTTAGGTAACGGGAGCGTTTCAATTTGGAATTTATAATACGGGATCAAAACAATGGGAAACATGTCCGTCGAGTCGAACCGTTTTAAATATGCCATCGTTAGAACTCATGTCTGTCGGATATAGAGATTTAAGCATTCACGATCGACATTTAGAACTTAAAACAAAAACGATGAACGTTTTCGTCAAAATAAAACTCATATTCACGGAAATGGAAATAAATAGTTTAAATCAAGATTTGAAAAGATTACTCGATTCCGCCTCGTCCACGGGGGATGTCGTCATCAATTGTTCCAATTCTCGCAGGATACCTGCTCATAAATGCATTTTAATAGCGAGATCTCCAATATTAGAAGAGATACTATTACACTCGAACGAAATTAATATGGAAAATTTATCTGGAGAAGTAGTGGAAGAAATACTCAGATACCTTTATACGGATCGAATTGATAATTTAGAAAGTCACGCGAACGTTCTCATATCAAACGCAGATAAATTAGGACTTCCGGGTTTGAAATCCGTATGTGAAAGATTTTTAATAGACTCGATAAAACCGGAAAACGTTCCTTCGTTACTCCTACTTTCCGAACAATTTTCCTGCGACAACCTTAAAAAAGCCGTTATGTTATACTGTGAAGATAATCCGAATTCGATCAATAAAACAATGGCGTGGAAAGTATTGGAAAAAGTAAATCCAGAATTGTTTGTGGAAGTTTGCGAAGCAGGTTTGGGCAGTTCGATCTCGAGCAATTTGGATAGCGATCCAGATTCAAACGATTTAGAAGAAAAAGCTTAAAATTTTTTTAATACCGTACTCGATGATATTTTTAAGTTTCAACTTTGATTTTGAATTTTATTAAACTCATTTTTTTTTTTTTTGGAAAAAAGTAAAACATGAGCCATTGTATTATATGAGTGAGGAATAAAATTTGTTATTGATTCAATCCGCGAAGGAAAAAATACTTTAGTTAAGCTAAATTGATATAGAAGTAAAGCGTTCATCTTGATTTTGTACCATTTCAGGCATAAGAATAAAAAAGATTGAAATTTAAACTTACCTAGGTTTTATTTTGGCTAACATGCACTCAATAGCTTGAAACCTTAGACGTAGAAAATCAGTTCTCAGTTCGAATATTTCATTTTTTTTGCACCTTGATGAATCTCCATAGTCAACGTAATAAAGCAAAATATAATTTTCATTATTGTCATTTTGAATTTCTTGTACTTCAGCTCTATACCATCTATCGTCATATGTAAATGGAGCAGCCACAATTTGACCACATTTCACCTATAACAAATACATTTAATTTTGTCAATTCCATTTAGTAACTATTTGACAGCAGTTGAAATGTGTAAAATAACATCGAGTTAAAAATAACAATCAGGTATTTTACTTTCGAAAACACACCCATTATACAAATACTTTTCAATTCTCTGAATTTTCTTTTGCAGGAAAGCTGTTTAATTAGAAAAATTTATATATATTAAATAAATATTTATAGGATACTTACTTCATGCAAAGCATGCAAAATTTTGTTTTCTTTTTTCTTGTAATAATCAGTCATTTGTTCAATGAGCCTGTCAAGCTCTACAGTTGAAGGACCCATCATTTGTAACCACATTCGATCGGGATTTTCAATTGCAGAAACATAGACTTCTAATAAACCATTACTTGAAGTGGCAATAAATTTTTGTTTTTGAGTGTATGAATCAACTTCCTCACATTCTCCCTTAGAAGGAAGTAAATATTTTGCTTTATTTCTAGGAGGCCTGTTTAAAATTTGAGTTTCAATTTTATTTCTAAATTTCATATCCTCTTCGACTTTTTGTTCGACTAAAAGTTTAGCTATGGCAATTTGATCGGATGTACCCTTGATAATAATTTTTTTTTCTAATGAAAAAGGAGCTGTAGATAAATTTTCTACAATAATTTTAGTGTTTGAATTCCTTGATATCAAACGAATACTGTCTCCATTTTTACCAATAATTCTTCCACATGCTTGCGAAGGGACTAGCATTTCAAATGTTTCAATAAGTGGTTGATTAACAATCAATTCGTGAATTAGTGATTCGGCATACTGTGCAGCTTCAGGTGTTCCTCTGATAATGCATTTTCTGTACTTTCCATTAATACTCCCATTTTCAACTATATGAATTTTAACATTGGATTGAACCTCAATGTTTTTAATTGTGTTTCCTCCCCTTCCTATTATTATTCCAAGACTTTCTTCGGGTATTGTAACTTCAAGTTCAGAAGTATTTGCACCATTTAAAGATAAAAAATCTTGACCTTCTTCCTCTTCCTTAAATAAAAAATATACTAAAGATCCTAATCCGAAGAATGTCAATGTTAGAAAAGCTGCAGTGGTTTTCCAGCTCATAATTTAGAAAGAAATAAATATAACTTAAAATATTTTTTTTTCTCAAATTAATCTGTTGCCAAATTTTTATACATAGTGATGTGAATGATGATTTTAACAAATGTAAATGTATATGAAATGAAATATTTACCTAAAACAATGTACCATTTATTAATTTACTTTATATGTAAAACTAATTAATATCATTATTATTATTATTAAATAATTTACATTAGTTTATAAAAGAAATTAATTTTACACATTTAAACGTCTTCGTTAGTAAAACAAAATTACAAATAAAAGAGGACATAATTACATAATAGATGACAGTGTTAAAACAGTTTTATTTTAAATTTTTTTTTCGTGACGAATTTTTAACAATATCACACATTTCTTCATTAGTAAAATTAATGTCTTTAGAATAGAAATAACTCAACTATTTAAAAAATTTTTTTACTTGATTAAAAAACTTTAATCAAAAAAAAATAAATTAAAATTAAGTGTTATTGAAAATATTTTACATTTTATATTATTTACTATGAATACAGATATTTTTTTTTACGATTATTTTTATAAAAAAACTTACAAAATAGAAAGAATGTAATCGATATAACGTGTAATTAGACAATTTTTAACGTAATTTTATTCAACTTGACTAATATTCAATTTAAACTAATTATTATTACTTGATTTTCTTTATTATTATCAAATTATTTCTTTCTGTTAAGAAATTTTTAAGAAATTTTTATTATAATGTCAAATAGAAAAAAACGAAAAGGAGATGATAATGGTTTTGAGGAATGGGTAAGCTATTTTTTTTTTTTTTTTAATAAATCTTAGTGTGTTACAATTTAATATTTAAATTTGTTTTTAATTTTTTTTTAATAATTATTTCAGGGAGGATATATGAATGCTAAAATTACAAAACTTGAAGCACAGTTTGAAGAAGATAAAGCCGATGTTGATCAGAAGCTTCAAAAAGTAGATGATATATTTAAAGGAATTTCCATTTTTGTTAATGGGTATACGGAGCCCTCAGCTGATGAATTAAGATGTTTAATGCTTTTACACGGAGGCGTTTATCATCATTATTATAGACCTGGAAAAACCACACATATTATTGCTTCAACTTTACCCAATGCTAAATTTCAACAGATGAAAACATTAAAAATTGTTAAATGTGAATGGATCACAGAAAGTATCAAAGCAAAAAAGTTATTAAATTACAATAATTATTTATTGCAAAATAAGTTTTCTGAAGGAAACAAGGTGACAAAAGAAAGTTTATTATCTGGAAATGGCTTTCAGAAAGGTAAGTGTTTTTTTTTTTTTTTAATTTTGTATTTGTTGAAAAGTTATTCGAAATTTTTTAACAAATCTCATTATAGTGACAGGTAAGTCAGAAATGGAAAAATATGTGTCTTCAAAAACTGCAGCAGATAAAGGGTATCTAAATGAATTTTACAACAATTCTAGACTTCATTATATTTCTAGTTTAGGGAACATGTTAAAACAACATGTTTGGGAAATAAAGGAAAATCATAATGGGGTTTTTCCTAAGCTCCAAAATTTAGTAGGAAATAGCGACTTTGACAGTGAAGATGTTTTTTGGAATAAAAACATTTACATGCACATTGATATGGACTGTTTTTTTGTTTCTGTTGCTCTTAGAAACTACCCTCATCTTAAAGGGCAACCTGTTGCAGTAACTCATTCGAAAATTAATTTTGGTGCTAATAATTCTTTAATTGAGACTAAGTTAAATTTAGCTGTAGAAAATTTAGACTCGTTAAAATTGAAAAGCGATGAAGGAGTCAATCAGGAAAGTAAAGCTTTTTCAATGTCCGAAATAGCTTCTTGTTCGTACGAAGCCAGAAAAGCTGGTGTTTGTAATGGAATGTATTTAGGATCTGCTTTGAAACTGTGTCCAAACTTAAAAACAATTTCTTATGATTTTAAAGGATATAAAGAAGTGTCTTTTATGCTTTATAACACTGTGGCAGAATATACTCTTGATATTGAACCTGTCAGTTGTGACGAATTGTATATTGATTGCACTAGTGTATTATCACAGATAAAAATCAACCCGATAAAATTTGCAAATATTTTGAGACAAGAAATAGAAGAAAAAACAAAATGTACATCATCTGTAGGTATTTCTGAAAACAAACTCTTAGCGAGGTTGGCAACAAAAAAAGCTAAACCAAATGGTGTATTTTTTCTTACACCTGAAAAAGTTGAAGAATTTATTAAAAAAGTGAGTATTTATGATGTGCCAGGAATAGGAAGGAATATAGGAGGCATTCTTAAAAAACTCTCTGTCGAAACTTGTGAAGACTTGCAAAATTTTTCATTATCCTTTCTCATGAAAACACTTGGTTCAAAAATTGGGAAAAATTTATATGATCATTGCAGAGGAATAGATGATAGAAAGATAAATTGTAATTTTGAAAGAAAATCAGTTTCAGCTGAAATTAATTACGGTATTCGTTTCAATGACAATGAAGAAACGGAAATTTTCCTAAAGGAACTATCTCAAGAAGTATCAAAACGTTTAGTAAATATTAAAATGGCGGGAAAAAATATCACGTTAAAAATAATGTTTAGGGCCAAAGATGCCCCGATAGAAGCCGCCAAATATCTTGGACATGGTTTATGTGATGTTATTAGTCGTTCTGTGACTCTTCCACAAGCAAGTAACGATGAAAATATTATAGCTAACAATGTTATTAATTTATACCATTTGTTAAATATTCCACCGAATGAACTTCGCGGAATAGGAATTCACGTGAACAAATTAGATAGTATAAATAAGTTATCCCGGAAAATTCAGTCGTACTTTGAAATCGGTAAAAATTTAAAAAAGTGTGATTGTGATAGAATAGATAATGTGATAAAGGAAACAGATAATAATTCAAGCCGGAAAACTATAAAGGAGAATGATAATCAATATGATAAGAATGAAGGACTAAATTTTCCTCAAAGAGATTTTCCGGCATCGGTTTCTTTTGTACCTGAAAATATGAGGTCAGATGTTTTAATTGAAGAAAAAATAAATAATACCTGTAGGGTTAATGAAAAAAGTAGTGAAATTATCGAAAAAGAAAAATGTAGTCAAAAATTAGAAAATGATGAAATAAAAATAGATGAAGTAACGGAAAATTTAAAAAATTTAAATTTTACCGAAGTGAAATTAATGATTAAACAATGGATAGTAACGGAAAATAAACCTCAGGTTAGTGACGTTGCCATATTAAAAAAAATAATTGAAAATATGATAGAAAATAAAAATTTGGAAAATCTTTCCCTCTTAATTAGTTACATGTGTAGGAATTTAAAAAAAATTAAAGGGGATGATGAAAATTGGTTAAAATTTTATTGGGAAATTAAAAATTTTGTACAAAATGAGATGGATTGTAAATTAAATAAAAAATTATCAAATGAAATTTTTTTTAAACTCAATATTTAGTATTTTATTATTATTATTATCGAATTTGTTTAACTACGTTAAATTTAAACCAAGGAAGATCGTTTTAATCTAGGATATTTGGAACCGGAATTAAAAACAAAACAAAATTTCATAATAAATAATAATTTATTAACAAATATGATATTAGTGTTTACAATATTTATTAAAAAAAAAAAAAAAAAAAAACTAGAATTATATATATTTAATTTAATTTAATTTAATTTTTTTTTTCATCTTGGCCCTAAGTATTTTTTTAGCAATTTTCATGGGAAAGGTTGTTGTATCAAGTTAAAGTTTTATAAAAGATGCTTTCAAGATTTATGAAACTAAAAATATTTAAAAAAAAAAATTTATTTAAAAACATTAAAAAATTATTAATAATAATAATAATAATAATAATTTTTTCTTTAACAAAAATATAATTATATGTGCAAATTAAACTTCTTGAGAAAATTCCCATTAATATTTCTAAAAAAAAAAAATAGTTTAAATTAATAAAATAATAAAAGACAAATTATTATTTATTTATTTATTTAAAATTATTTGTCTTTGAATAATTTTTGGTTTCTGTAAAAACTTTAATAATTATTAATTATTAATATATATATATTATAACGTTAAAAACAATTTTTTTTTTTTTTTTTAAAAAAAGACTAAGATTTGCAAAAAAAAAAAAAGAAAAAAAAAAAACTTTCCCCCGCAATGAAACAAATAATATTTTTTAAATCGGCACTGTTTTTAATATCACTAAAAGGCTTATTAGTGAGGCCATTCTTGTTAAAAAAAAAAAAAAAAAAAAAAAAGAAATATATAAAAACGTTAGGTAATATCACTCCCACTCGGTCGTTCCAGGTGGTTTCGGTGTTAAATCGTACAGAACTCTAGATATGCCCGGTACTGTTAAAATTTCGGTCATCATTTTATTTACAACCTGAAAAATAAATTTTAAATCAAAATTACGCCTTATATAATTAGATAAGCGATAATAAAAATGAAAAACTAATTCTACCTCTGTGGGGAGTTGTTTTCCAGGTAACGCGGGAACACCTGTCATAAAGTCTTGAGTACAAAAAGGCCGAAGAACGACGGATCTTTGACAAGATGGGATACGCAATGCGGTGTCACGATCAAAATGTATTGGAATTAATACGACCGGCATTTGACTTATGGCGCTCATACATCCGGAAGTTGCCAAAACCTGAATTCCAAGCAATTTTTTTTTAAACAGGTATGTATTGACAAAATCAATTTTACAAACTAACAAACATAAACTTTTTTTTAAAAATGCATTTCGTACCTGATTTGCTATGTAATCAACTTGTCTTAAAGTACTCAATACGTGAGATGAAAGAAATGTCGGAGTTACATCTTGAACTTGATCTTTAACTAAACCACCGGCTATGTAGCAAACTCTATTTATATTGTGACATATTCTAGGAATGAGTTTAGCTAAAAATTCCAAATCTGTCCAAACGGGATCGTTTTTACTAGATATTCCCACTACGTAACTGTAACTCCGATTATCGCCCTGAACACCAACAGAGCTGTTGACAAAAAAAAAAATTTTCAAATAGGTATCTACTATCTATAATAGGTAATAAGGGAATAAGATAAATAAAACGAATGACTGACTTACCGAATTGGTAAAAGGGTAGCAGCTAAATTATGACTACTAGAAACTTTTTTTAAAACTGATCTTTCTTCTTCACTTGTTACGCTGTCTACTCTATTCAAAAGTGCATGTTTCTGAAAACATTTACATTTTAAACATTAATTTTTAGGAAAATTATTTATTTAAACTAAAAATCACTTGTATACTGAAAATAAATGCACAACATTTAGTTAGGTTAAATTTTACCTTTAAAAGCATTTGCTCATACTCTACAATAATTTTAACAATAACTTGAGTCTCGGAAAAGTCTCTTTGAATGTAAGGCTCTTCGGCACAAATTACTCTAATAGCTAAACCAGGACCGGGAAATGGATGTCGCATAACCAAATCCGTCGGCAAACCCAAATCTCGTCCTAAAAAATTAAACTCACGATAAAATATAACTAATTCTCATAATAATCAATAAATTTCAAATAAATTTCTTTTTACCCAGAGCTCTAACTTCATCTTTGTGAAAGTCTTTAAGGGGCTCGACTACTCTACCAGCTTCTCTAAGCTGCCTGACTAACTCTGTGTCATTATGATGAGTTTTAATAACTACAGCCTTATCACTTGCCAACACCGAAGCCGATTCAATTAAATCAGGCCGAAGAGTACCCTGGCCCAAAAAAACTTCATCCGGTCTTAAGTTTAATTCAGAAATTACTTCATTTGCTACATTAACAAAAATGTCTCCAATTATTTTACGCTTTTCTTCGGGATTAACGGTTTGGCAAAGCATTTTTGTCTGTCCTATCTTCCAATCGGGTTTTCTTTCTCCAGGCATTTTGGTTGTTCCTTAAAAAAAAAAAATTTTCTCATCTTTATAACATTGTCAACATGTTTCACTCGAAAATTATGTAACTCATTATTAATTGTATTTTACCTTCGAAAAATTGTTGAGCTGCATTAACAACTTTTAATTTTAATCCCAGTCTTTGCAATGATTCTTCAACAAGGGCACTTTCATTTTTTCTCATAAACCCATTATCAATATGAACAGCTATTACTTGATCAGGTCTGAGAGCTTTGTGAAGCAAAGCTGCACACACTGTCGAATCTACACCACCACTAACCAATAGCTAAAGTAAAAATTAATTCATTATTATAATATTGTCGTAAAAAATTTTGCAAATTAATAATAAAATATTCTACCAAAACTTTATTGTTTCCAACAATTTCCTTAATGCCATTTATGCATTCAATTTCTCTGCTTTGCATTGTATAATTTCCAGTGAGGCCTGCAATATCGACTAAAAAGTTTTTGAGCATTGTTTTCCCATTAGAAGTAAGTTCAACTTCCGGATGAAACTGTACACCATATAATCTTAATTTATCATTTGCAATTCCAGCGATAAATGCTTGTGACATAGCAACAGCTTTAAAACTGTCTGCTACTTTTTCTATACTATCTCCATGTGTTAAAAGAACTGGTTGAATCTTATCCATACTCCTAAAATTAATACATACAAACAATAAGCCTGATATAATTTCAAAATTAATGTGACAAGTAAAGTACAATAATGATAACATAGGCATAAAAATTACACTGCTTACTTGAATAAAAGGCATTTGGTATCCACCTCAATATTAAATTGTCCATCTTCTCTACCAGCTTTTTTTACAATTTGACCCCCAAATTCCTTATTCATCATTTGCATTCCATAGCATATCCCTAAAATTTATAGTGTGAAAATGTAAATAAACATGCTAAAAGATTCATATATTCAACCACTTTCCAACCACTCACCCAAAACTGGAACACCTATTCTAAAGATGTCAGCATCATATCTAGGAGCATCTTCAGCAAAAACTGAATTAGGTCCACCTGATATTATAATGGCTTTGTATCCCTTTTCCTTCAAAAAAAAAGCTGGAGTGTCCAAGGGTAAAATATCACTTTCCACACATAATTCTCTAACTCTCCTATCTATAACCTTTCCATACTGAGCACCAGCATCCAAAATTGCAATTTTTTCACCATTGTGAGCTCCATTTGCTCGATGGTTTCCTTCAGGACTAGTGTTGTGCATTTTGTATACTCAAAGTGATGCTAATTGTAAAAATGATTTAATTAAAAACTACAGTAAATAGTAATTGATTGTTAAATATTTCTATAATAAATTTTAAAAAAATTAACAACTCTGTTGGGTAGGACAGGGTCTTATATATCACTGACCCATAGAATAATTTGAAAAAAACAAGTAATTTAAATAATCTAAATTAAAATCACCTCAACAACCGTATGATAAAAATATTTGTATGTGTACTTAGTACAATAATTATAGATAAAATTTTAATGAAAGATAAATGAAAATAAATAATATGAACTTATCTGCGACCTCGACCTTGAAATTTAAAATATAATAAAACTGTACGCATATCTCTTATTAAAATAAAAAAATTCATATGATTCGGATGCAATTGAAAGGAAAAACTAATACGAAAAATAATTATATTTTAAAAAAATTGATATAGAAACCAATTATCGTATCAGAACTACATTTTCATTGGAAAGTATTAAAAAACAAAAACTAATATTTCGTGAATCACCAAAATAAAAATCTATTCTTACCACTCAATAAAAATGTTTTTAATTTAACTACTACACTAATCTTTAAATAAATAATTATTTATATTAGTAAGAAATTAAATATAGACTATTTTAAATTAACAAAAAATTTCTCACATGGCGTACATTTGCCGTTTAAGTTTTCTCAAGTTGTCGTTTCTAAACGAGGTATATACGTCTTTCTAGCATGATAAACAATGACGTAGTTCCTGAAAGTCACTATGCTTTAGGTCGTTAGAAGGTTGGCTACCGTAAAAGAGACTAAACAATGTTTTGTGCAAAATTAAGTTTATAACGGCTTTTACATATCATAAAAATTTTATTTTTAATTAATAAATTTATTTTAAATTAGTTTACTTACCAATTTTAATTTTTTTTAAATAAATTTCAAAGTAATAGTTTTTTTTTTTTTTTTCAAGTGTAAACTCGGACTGGTGGCCAATAAATTTACAAAATTAACATCTAATTTAATAATTTAGTTTGAAAAAATGCTTTTACACTCAAGATTTTGAATTTTTCAAAAGTAATAATTTCAAGTTACTTATTACTCGATTTTATTATAACTAAAATTTAATTTTTAAGTAGAGTTATATTTAAATAAATATTGATAATTATTTATCTCACGGTCAGATGTCACGGTTTTTTTTTTTTTTTTTTTTTTTTTTTTTTTTTTTTGTAACATGTTAAATCAATAAGGTTTTCTCCTATACCTTTTTTATTATATTTTTTCATTATTTTTATTTTTAGGATAATTAAAAAAAGAAAAAATTAAAAATCGGGCGATTTTTCAATGATGGAAAACGTCGGGAAGAAGAAAATTTTAGAAAAAACTAAAGAAAAGGTAAATAATTAAGATTTTTTTGTTAATTAGATATACATTCGGTATGCTTAATAAGTATGCTTAGATATGCATTCAATAATGGTGGTTAAAATGACTAATCTTACAGATTGGTAATAGGAAAAAAGGAAATGAAGGCAAAAAATCTAGAACTAATTCAGTATCAAGTAATATTGAATCATCTACGGTTGATGAAAAACTAGATAATATTGTTGTAGTTGGAAAAAGTTGTAGTGTTTTAAAGCCAAATTCTTGTCTCTCTGAAAGTCATTCAAGAGCTATTCTACACCCACCTATAATAAGCGATAATGTAATTAATAAAACTTCTGGTGATACATCTGACAATTTACAACCTTCTTTGTCTTGTTCCTCGTTCATTTCTGCAAAATCAGATTTAAGCAATTCAAAATTATGCTCCAAAGAAGTGTTTGATTTGGAAGATGATAATTCAGCGAAATTGCTTCCTGGAAAACAAACAATTAGTAATGACTCTTCAAAGGAAAAGGATTATTTAGTTAAGGTATGTTTTAATCTTAGAAACATTTACATATTTTTTTTTTTTAAGAGCAACCCAACAAAAGTTTTATTTTTTAAATGAAAATGAATAATTAATTAATAGGTTTAACTATAGTTAATTATAAAATATTTAGGTATCAATGTTTCAATATCTAATATTTATTTTGTGTACAGTTAAAAGAAATGGAAAAAAAAATATACATAAAAGATAGGAAAATAAATGACTTAAATCAAAAAATTGATGAGTGCATTATGGATAAAAAGAAAAAACTCACAGAAAATAAAGATCTTACTCATAAAGTTGGTGTATTGCAACGACAATTACAATCTGTATTCGAAATGATGAAACAAAAAAATATGAATCCCTCAATTAATCAAGATGAATTTCTTAATTGTAAAAAAAAAACAAATGAACTTCATGCTTTGAATCAAGAGCTTCATAGAGAAAAAGAAACACTTAAAGAAAATTTAATTTTAGTCAAAAATGATTTACACGAAAAAGAAGAAGAATTGGAAAGGAAAAAACAAGAGATTAACGATTGTAAGAACAGATGCAGTTTAGAAATGTGGAAGTTTATCAATGAAATAGACTGTTTGAAAAAAAGTTTAAATGCTCAATCGCAAATACTCAATAAGAAAATTTCTGAAGCGCAACATTCAATGGATGATGAGATTGTGAGGATAACAATAAAATTAGAAGATCAGTATCAGAAAGATTTAAAAAGTGCAGTACAGAAATTACAGGGTAATTTTGAAAAATTATCTAATTTACCTGTGACCACAATTGAACATCTTATTCAGATGAATGACATTAAAAATATTGATTGGATTGCTTTTCAAAAAGATTTGAAGCAACCGGAAAATCTTTCGAGAGGTAAAAGTTTATCTTTAAGCGAATTAAATAATCATGAAATTACACATTCGAAAAATTTTTACGAATCAAAACTTGCACTTTTAAAAGATCAAATGAATATTTTATCGATTCGGTTAAAAGAAAAAGATGAAAATGTTCTCAACGCAGATTTAATAATAGATAAAAGAAATTTGAGGAAAATGTATCCAACACTTCCTTGGGACAATATATTTTCAATAAGTGATTTTTACATGGCGGAAATAAAATCTCAGAATAAAATTCATAAATTGGAACGTGTTTTTTTTGAAAACAAAGTTAAAACGTTAACGGATGAAATTTTACACATGGCAAAAAATGAAGAAATTTATCTGGAAGAATTGGGAAACGTCAAAAAATTGACTTATTTGTACCGTGAAAAGTATGAAAATCTTGTTAATAAATGGCAAGAGAGAGTTGAAGTAAATAACGAGGCGGAGGAAAATTTGAATTTTTTAAGTTTGAAAGACATATTCGAGCAATTGGAAAATTTTATTTTTTTATTGCAAAAATTTGAAAAAATTCACGGAGTGAATTTGGAAAAAATATTTGCTCAACACGACAGCGAAATTTTGTTGTGTCGAGAAAGCATGGAAGCTTTTCAAAATAAAATTTTAGAATTGGAAATGTTTCAAAAAAATCAATTGATATTGGATAACACAATTCAAGAATTAATCGAACACGTTGGAAATAATTATGTGAAAACAGTCGAAGCTTTAGTAACAAGTCACGCTACCGAATTGAATTTAAAACAATTAGAAGCATATTCCAATAAGGAAAAATATTTAGATGAAATAGCCGTTTTAAAAAAAAATTATCAATTGGAAATACAAGAACATCAAAATAAATTACTTTTATTGGAAAAATCAAAAAATGCCGTAGAGAAAGAATTAGATTCTTTTAAACAATGTCAACTTCATCAGAATCCAAGCCTTTTAAAGATGAAACTCGAGGAAACGTCTCTGGATCTTTTAAAATGCGAAAATATGCTTGCGATGAAAGATGAAACGGAACTTAATTTAAATAATAGAATAAAAGAATTAGAAGAAATTATTAATACGAAAAACATAAATAGTCAAAAAGAAATAGAAAATTATCTTGTCAAGTTGTTAAGTAATAATATTATTATATCGGCAAAAAATGATTTGATTAAAGAATTAGAAGATAAACTTGAAAATTCGGAAAAACTTTTAAAAAAATGTTGTCTCGACATTGAATACGCCCATGAAATTTTTTTCAATTTAGAAGATAGATTGCAATTTTTAGTTGAAAAATTTCTTTACGATGAAAGAAATTTTTTTAGGAACAATGAACTTTTTAAAATTCATTCCGTTATTCAATCGAGTAGAAAGGAGTTGAAAGATGCATTTTTACAATTGTTTCAAAAAATTAATTTCATTGAAAAAAAATTAAATTTCAATTATGAAAATAAAGCGGATGCTTGTGTAAATACCGAAGAGAATATTACGGATAATGATAATTGCGAAAAAATTGGAGAAGATTTAAATAAAGGAGAAGGAGAAGAAAATTATGAATTTCAGGGATCTTTGAAAAATGAAAAAAATTTTTTTCACGACATTCTCATCGAAGAGACGAGTAATGCGGAAAATTTAAGCGAAGATGATTTACTCGACGTGTTTCTATTTGAAAAAAAAAATGAAGTGGAAGAAAATTTAGTTGAAACGTACGGCGTTGAAGAAAATGCTGAAATAAGTGAAAATGATTTAGAATTAATGACGGAAGTCGTGACGAATTTGGAATTGAACGACAAATCGGAAAAAGAAGAAATACTATCGATTTGCTTTCAAAAAATGGAATTTCTTTACAAGGAAGAAAATATGACGGATGAAGGAAGAAACTCGCCATCTTTTTCACCTAAAAGTTATAATTCTTCCGAATGTTTAAAATATAATGGAATAATTGAAGAAAATGAAAAATTGAAGAATGAAAATAATAAATTACTCGCAGACAGTTTTCTCAATAAGTCACACATAAGGTATTTAGAAGAATTGGTATCGGAATTGACGAAAAATTTGAATGCTTTGTTTAATGAAAATAACGAATGGATATGCAGTACGACGATATTGGAAAAAGAAAATGAATACCTTAAAAATGAAGTGAAACGTTTACAAGAGGATAATTATTATAAAAGTAGGAATAATAATAATAATAATAATAATAATTTTGAAACTAACATAAAATTATTTGAAAAAAAAAAAAAACGGTTCTTCATTGGATGACGAAATTTTTTTAGGGGAAGATTACGATACGACCGGCGGCGACTTGAGAAAAGAAATAAGTAAAATAAGTAAATGTATTAAAATGATTAGCATCAAGTTGGATAATATGAAATTAAATAATGAGAGATTAATAAACGAAAGTAGGAAAAATTATAAAAAAAATTTGAGTTTGACAAATGAATTAGAAGAAGCTTGGGCTCAAAGGTACGAAATCGAAGACCAATTAACCAACGTTCGTCAAGAGAATTTCCTATTGAATATGCATAAGGCTCAGTTGGAAGATACGAATAGAAGAATATCGAGTTTGGTAGCCGAAGGAAAACCATCGGTGATTTCATGGATTAAAATTCACGAAACTGTTGACAATATTGTCGATGAAGTTTTGGCTGCGAAAACTTTTGTTAGAGATTCCGACTGTTCTTCGGCGTCCTATAAAAACCTGAATCTTTCAGACTCCCAGTGTAAATTTAATTCGGTGACAGAATCTCTTCACGCTCACGTGGAAAATAAAACTTTTCTATGCGATGAACTTTTGATGCAAAAAACCACGCTCGAAAACAAATTAAAAGATTTAGAGGAATTGTTGAAAAAAAATGATGCGAAAATAAATAATCGAAATAAAATCATCAGCGAAACTTTGAATATGACGGAAAATACAGATTTGATTAAAAAACAAGTGAGTCGTACAGCCCGCCATTATTATTCATTTATTTATTTTATTATTTTTTAAATTTTTTCAATAAAAAAAAATATTTAAATTTTTGATTAAATTAGCTAAAAAATTATTCGTCAGAATCACTTTCAACGTTTGAATTAAAAGAAACCTATCACGAGCCAAATGTTTGTGAAATACAAAATGATGATGATGATGATGATGATTATGATGATGATGATGTTGATGACGATGTAATAAATCATTTAGGAATTTTAAATTTATATAAAAAAAAATTTGAAAATCATGTCGAATTAAAAGAAGCTCAATTTCTTGAATGTTTAGGTCATGAAATTCAAGAATTAAAAAAAGAGGTGCGTCCCGTTTTTTTTTTTTTTTTTTTTTTCTACAAATATTTATGTTATTATTGTTTCATAAGCACCGTTATTTTTAAATGAAAAAGTTTATATAATTCAAGTTTTAGGCGCACATCTTAGGTATTTAATATTATTTGTAAATATTACACTTTCGTCAAATTGAAAAAAAAAAAAAATTAATTTTTTAATTCGAAAATCAACATTTTGACAATTTTTTTTTGTTTATCTTTCACAATTGCATTATTGCCACAAAAAAAAAAAATTCAAATTGTCAAGATGCTCAAGATCATATAAATTATATATTGTGTAGTACAGAAAGAAAATTTTTGAGTACTTGTAACTTTGTCTAATTTAGGCATGAAGATGTATCTCCTCAAGTATTATTCTGCACCGCTTAAATAAGTATACACACACACACACACAAACACACACACATACACGTGTGTGTATGGATTTATCGGTTATCATCCATTTATAAATGGAAGTGGACGACTATATTTACCTTCTTATATATATATATATATAAAATATGTAATGAATGTTGTTATTGTTGTGGTTGTTATTACTTGATCGAGTCAGGTAAAAAATATCATCAATTAATTTTTTTATCGTAATAAATTTAACTAATAAAATAAAATGATTTTTCAGATTGAAAAACTTCAAAGCGTTATAGAAATTAAGAAAAATGATTTTGTTGAGAATGCAAATATAAGGAAAAAAGAATTGGAACCATCATGTTTTTCGGAGGAAGACTGCGAAAAAGAAATTTTATTTTTTTTCCATGAATTCGTAGAAGAAATAAACGGATTAAAATCATTGAAAATAAAATTAAACGAACCCGATGAAGTTGTCGACGAAATAACAAATTATATAGAAAAAATTGAAACGATTAACAATTGCTACAAAGAGAAAAAATTGGATATAGAACCCAAGTATGTTACTTAATATAATTTATCCAGTATTTTTATCATTGATTGTAAACATAAAAAAATACTTAAATTTTTTTCAGGTTTAAGAAAACGAGAAATCCTTGCGAAGAGAAGCTTAAAAATGCTACGGAAAAAGAAGAGTTTGAAGTGTTTGATCGTATAAAAAATATTTTAAGCAACGTGGAATTAAATGAAGTTGAGCTGAAAGAAATTATTCATTACATTATTAAAAAACATGTTTTTAAATTGTCGGTGTTGAAAAATAAAAATAAAGAAATATTAAATAATCACACGTCAGAAATAATAAGTCTAAATATTGTGCTCGATGATTTGAAGCTTAATTTGGAGAAAACGTTTCGGGAAAAAGAAAATAATACGAAAAAACAATTGGAAAATATGAAAATCGAGTACGAAAATAAATTAAAAGAAGAAAAAACAAAATACGAAAATGACATGAGGAAAATTGAAAATGATTCAGAAAGGAAAATTTACGATTTGAAAAATTTACCTAAAAATTTTAAAAATGAAAAAAAGGAAATGAAAAGGAAAAATTTTCCAATCGATCAGGTATGTTTAAATGTGTTAAAAAAACCCAATTATAAATAATCCAGATTAAACTTGAATGTGAAAAAATTTTTGTCAAAACTTGTTTTCTCTTCGACGAAAACATTAAACATTATTTTAACTTTTTTTTTTTAAATTTATCGGTATTTTTCGGTAATTATTTGTTTTATAATTTGCTTGGAAAAATTTTTTTTTTTTTAATAATATACACATACGTAATTAAAGTAATTTAAAATATGTTCAAATCGTAGGATATACACGTGTGTGAGTGTGTATTTAAAAATATTAACTTCGTCATGTTACGTGTTATACTAATTTTCCTTTTTTTTTTTTTTTTTTTTTTTCAGATTATGTGTGATAACGAAGGCGATTCTTGTCTTCATATAAAATACATAAAAAATTTAGAAAGTGAAATTTCAGCTCTTAAATCGGAGATAGCAATGGCTAACACTCCCGTTTGCCCGTCGGGTTCAACACAAAATAATTTTTTCAATTTGGATATTACAACCGACGATGATAAACTCGAAATAGTGCGAGAAAGGGATACCTTAAAGAACATGGTCAATTCTTTACGCGTTCTAGTCGGTAAACTATTGAACTTCATCGGACAAAGTGGTAAAAACATGGGGAATGATGTCACGATAAGAGATTTTAATTACGATGATACCATGTACAAAACCTTGTTACTAAATAGTCCCGGTCGGAATAATGGCGATAAGTCGTCGCTTGCGTCAAACAGTGTCATGTATTCGTTAGATATTTCGAACATCATACAAGAAATAAACGATCATTCGTTATTAAATGCATCATATCAAATTCAAAACGAATTGGATGCTTGCGTGAAAGAAATGAAAAAGGATGCTTTAAATTTATTAGCTTTATCCGAGTCGGAAGATTTGAAAACCTTATCAAAATTTTTGAATAAAATGGAAAAGGATAAAGATGATTTGGAGGATAAAATAATCAAAGTGGAACAAGTACAAAATGAAATTAAATCGGAATTAGACGCGACAAAAAACAAATTGGTACAATGGGAAAAAAATATCGAAGTAAGTTTTTGTAACTGATAAATAATAATTTTTAATATAGTTATTATTCTAACTAAATAACGGTCATTTCATGCAGGTCATCTCTGAGGGATACGGTGAAGAAATCGTGGGTCCTAAAAGAATTATTCCTTTATCAAAAGCAGACGATAAAATGATGGATGGAAATGAATCTCATGAGGATGTTAACGAGTTGGATGAAATGCATAAAGATTGTCACTTGCACGAAGAATGGAAACAAGAAAAAATCGACTTGCAGCAGCAGGTTGTGCCCGTTAACTTTTTTTTTTCTCATCGTTTAATAAATTTACAAAGGTTTAAATAATTTGAATTGGGAAAATTATTTCGCAGATTGAAGTTGCGGATAAGCAATTGAACTCGCTTAAAAAATTCATGGAAGAACAAGCAACGGAAATTGAACAAGAAAGAGAATCTTTCGATAAGGAAATAAATGATTTGAAAGAATGTTTAAAAGCAAAGGAAAGAGGGAATTTGTTTAACGATCAGAAAAAACAAGAGGCATGTTAATTTTTCATTAAATTTTCTTGCATGGATTTTTTTTTTTGGAATCTTTTATTTTCATCAGATCTTTTGTTAAAGTTTTTACTTTGCATGGCACAAATTTTGAATTAATATGTTTTTTTTTTTTTTTTTTATAAATTTATACTTGATAACTGAAGCAATTTGTTTTTTTTTTTTTTAAGCTTTTTTTTTTTTTTTTTTCAATTTTAATAATGGGTTTTAGAATTTTTAGATATTTTAGTTTTGTTTTCTTTTCTTTTGCTTAAAAATAATTATTTTAGTATTACTAACTATTTGGTTTTTCTAACACTCACGCTTAGTCTTATTGTCTCTACACTGGATTGTAATAGGGTGAACATCAACATAAAACATCAGCTTTAACTGGATTGGTAAGAACAAAATCATTTTTACAAAAATTTCCTTATAAATAACTTTTATTTATTTATTTATTTTTTTTTGAAATTATTTAATAATAATTACAGATTGAAAGTTTGGAACTGCAAATAAAAGATCTGACCGCTCAAATAAATACAAGCGAAGAGAATAAAAAAGCTGTCGAATTGGAATTTCAAAACGCGGTGAAAAAAATATGGTCGCTCAGAGAAGTCATACAGGATTTGGAAAATCAATTGGCCGAAGTTAACGAAAGAGAAAATAATTTGAAGAAAAAAATTGACAATTTAAATTCACGACTTGAAGAACAATTTAAAATCAATAAGGAAATTAAAAACGAGGTTAAAAAATTTTTTTTTAAAATTTATTTTTAAATTAAATATCAAAAGTTTTTATATGATTTTTGTATTTTCTAGTTCGAAGTACTTAAAAACGAAAACGAAATGAAATATACCGAGCATATAAAACATTTGGAAGAAGAACTCGTTAATTTGCAACAAATCGTTGGAAAAGTAAATCCCGAATCTTTTGCAATCATGAAATCGAATTTAAGACACATGGAAACGATTTTAATGAAAAAAACAAAAGAACTTGAACAAGTTCACATATCCTCCGCAAACGTCAGTTGCAGTTCTCCGTCTGAAGATGTTTCCATACGAGATCGTTTTGATGCGACCAGATGTTCGACTCCGGATGAAATGTGCTGTGGAAATTCATCTGAAAATATCACGGCTCCATTGGAAGAATTGGATCGTTTACAAGAAAAATTAATGCGGCACACTCGAGCAGAAGAAGTCGCGTTAAAATATATTCAAGACCTCAAAATGCAAATAAAAATGAGTAAAAAATCATTGGAGGAACTTCAAACGGAAAGAGATGTTTTGTTGGAAAGATCGGATTTTTTCCTTAAAGAAAATGCAAATTTAAAAGCACGAATGGAAGAACAAAGATGCAATGCTGCTTTCATTCAAAAACAATTAAATTCGGAGTTGGAGTCGCACATTCATAGATTAGAGATAGAAGTTGAAAAATTAACGTCGCTCTGTTCGCAAAAAGATAATCAATTGCGGGATATGAGCGAAGTGTTGGAAAATACAAGCAAAACATTGAAACAAAGAGAAATGGAAGTCATGAATAAAAGCAGAGAAGAAAATGTTTTGATATCGACATTGAAAATGGATTTAGCAAATGCTTTGGGTGACAAAGAGAAACTGGAAGAAAGTTTGGAAAAAATTAGAGAAAAATTTAAAAATAGCATCAAATTGCCAGTTTTATTCGATAGCATGGTGGAAGAAAAAAATGCGGAAATAGAGAGATTGGAAAAAGAAGTTTCTAGACTCTCTAATGAAAAATCAAATTTACTTTCCAATTTGAAAACCGTTGCTCATTCGGAATTTAAATGTAAAAAAAATTTTTCGCGACCTGACAGTTTTGGTGAATACATTTCTCCGATATCTTCCGGTAACAGAACGGAAATGCGACAATGCAGCGATAGTTATTCAGACTTTAAAAATTCTTCATTCAAATTAAAACAGGTGATATAATTAATTTCAAAATTTTCTACTTTTTTCTCTAAAGTTTAAATTAATTTAAAATTATTATTATTATTATTTTAGTCCGCTTATTCGTCGATATTGGAATCCGTTTCATCAATCGGACCTCTACAACTTTCTCCCCGAGGAACTAAATTTAGTTCAACGTGGAAAACTGGCGGTGGATCAAACGGATTAATAAATGCTTCTCTCAAGAACGAATCCACGTTTTCAAATGAAGAAAAAGAAGTTAAATTGTTGTTTTTGGAAGAATCAAAACTTCATCGGGAAATAAATTTAAAAAATGAAGAAATATCAAAATTGAAAAATGAAATTTCTTCAATGGAAAATAAATGCGATCAATTACAAAATCAGTTAGATGCATCACAGAATCAAATAAAAAAAATAAATGAAGATTTGGATTTGAGTACGAAAGAAATAAGGGATTTGAAAACGAAAGAGTCGAAATTGATTGAAACGTTGGAATGTATAAAAAAAGAAAATTTACAAAAAATGGAAGATTTACAAAACAAATTAAGTTTCGAAAATGCAAAAGTTAAAAAAGTGTACGAAGAAATCAAAGAATTGGAATTTAAAAAAATTGAAATCGAAGAAGCATTTTTCAATTTAAAAGATGATTATTGTGAAAAATTAAACGAAGAGCAGAAAACGGTGAAAACGTTGATGGAAAAAGTGAGGAATTTAGAATCGAAAAATTGCGATACGGAAAATAAATTAATTTTTGTCAAAAACGAATTGAAAAATTTAACGAAAGATTCCGAGGCGAACATCAAAGTGTTAAATAAGCAAGTCTCTGATTTGAAAAAGGAAAATGAAATGTTAAAATCGGAAAAGAAAACCGTTGCGAATGCCGAAGTTCAAGTTAATAGTAACTGTAGCAATTTAGTTTACGATAGCAATTTAAATAAAACCTTGCCTAAAACATTTGCTGGAATTAATTTGTTAAATAATAATATAAAACTTTTAAAACAAGAATTTGATAAAATGTCAAAATCCGTTAGCGAAATGTATCAGGGGGAAGAAAGTGTCAAATATAACGAAATTAAAATTTTATTTTCTTCAATTATTGATAATATTAACGAATTGATTGAGGAATTTAACGCGCACACAAAAAAAATAATGGAATCCTCCGTGGATGATCTTGCAATTAAAGTAAAAAAAGAATTATTATTATCCGCCAAATTGGATCATGATTTACTAACGAGTTTTCAAAATAACGATTTCGCAGCAGCTAAAAATTTAGGGGACGAAGTATCAGGCGTTTTGCCAGAATACGGAGGAGGTGATTTTCCTCGCGTTCAATCTTGTCCCGACAAGAGCGGAGGTTCATCCCAAGAATTAATCGTTAAAAAAGAAAATGAAAAAATTATGAAATTGGAAAAAGAAAAACAGGAATTATTGGAAAAAATTCACGATCATCAGAAAATAATAAAATTTTTAGAAGAAAGTCTTCTCGCCGAGAAAGAAAGGATTTTGGCTGAGAAAGAACGATGCAAAGAAGATGCGAACATAATGGAACTTCTTAGAAAAAATTTGGAGAAAGGTTTACGCGATATAAAAGCAAAAGAAAAAGACGTCAAAAAGGAAAGACAGTTGAGAATGGCATTGGAAAAAGAATTGGAAGCGTTGAAAAAAGACGCGGCGAACGTTGCGGACAACTTTAATAATAAAATTGCCAACTTGAAAATCCTCGTGAAATCTCACGAAGACAAATTGGAAATGTTGAGTAAAAGTTTAGAAAGTGAAAAAATTAAAAATCAAGAATTGCGGATATTGTTGGAGCAAAAAAAATTAGAAAAAATTTCCGAAAAAGAAGCTTATAAATTGCTCGAAAGCGATTATAATTTGTTACAAAATCAAAAAGCTAATATATCGTCAGAGGTATGTATGGTTGTGAAGGTGTTAATAAGTACATTTCTTTTGTGTAAAATTAATTTTCACCTCGTTTCGTCGTTACAGATGAACTTCACTAAAAAACTTCTTCAATCTCGAAACGAAGAAATAAAAGAATTGAAAAAAAAAATTAGCCTTCAAGACATCGATATAAAAACTTTGAGCGTTTCAAAAGATCTTTTTAGTAGGAATCCATCATCGGATGTGGTCCTCGATTCGGATTTAAAAAATATTCACGTGAACAGTTTTCCGGGAAATTTAAATCTCCAGAATTTACCGGAAGAAGTTTCCGAATCTCTTTTATTTAAAATGAAAGTAAGTCTCAATTTATTTTTATCATGCGTTGAATAATAATAATAATAATACTGAAATGTTAACTGCATTTTGTTAAGGAATTAAATGATTGCGTTCGACAACACATTCAAGGCGGAAGTGACGAAACGAATGGAGTTTTTATCAATTTGAACAAGGAAAATATGGGAGAGCAATGCTCCGATAATAAATATGGAGACGAAACGATTATTCCCGACGATGAATTGGAAAAAAAATTATTGAATTTGGAAAAGGGAAAACTTATGATGGATCTTGAAAATTTAAAATCGGATTACGAGGAGGCGAGACGAGAATCCATTAAAATAAACAAAAGCAACGAAATTTTAGTTTGTTGTTGTTGTTGTTGTTTGTCGTCGACTGACCAATCAGGACAAAGTTTTAGTAAATATTTATTCGAATTTAGTAAACAATTTTTTTGTTTTTTTGTTTTCCCCGAGTACAAGTTCAATCAAAATTGTTTTTTTTTCGATTTGTTTAAAACGAATTAGAAAGTTGAATTAGTAATAATAATAATGATAATAATGATAATAATAATAGTTTTAACAGCACCGTAATTATATGTTTTATTTTAACAACCTAGTGAAATTTTTAAATATTATTATTATTATTATTTTCGAGTGATAAAAAATTATTTAGAATTGATTAAATTAAGAGCTTATAAACCGTGTGTAGCTAATAATAATAATGATAATAATATAACGTGCCTGATTTTTTTTCGATTATGCGGGGGGGGGGTATTGAGATATTAAAAATTTGATTGATTTTAATTATCTTCCGATATTCCGCCTACTTTATTGTTTATATCGAGAACTTGTTGTACAAAATTATGATCGGACATTATGATGCTTATTTTGTTTAAAATAATTTCAAGGGTTCCCGGTGAAAGTCCCATTTTAACATTGCAATGATTAATAATATCCCTTTCGAATTTTTCCCTTTCACAACTTACAATTAAACTAATATTAAATTTTTCTTTTATCCTTCCGTTCTGATAGAAAAGCACGGGTTTGACATTTTCTTTTATTGGAAAATATAGGCCGGCAACGAGGTGACCTTTCGTGTCCCTGGCTAAAAAGGATCTGAAATTATAGACCAAATTACGCCGTTCGGTTACTTGAACGGGTGTCGCATAAGGGCGTGCAACGTAAATGATATTTTCCGATGTTGTTTCCAGGCCTTCCCGTGTCACTCTGTCGATCCATTTAATATAATCGGAATTTTCCGCGAATATGTAACAATATTCTTTACGTACTTGGGATTCATCAGATTGTAAAAACCATCCTGGAATTTTTTCAAAAAATAAATTTAATGGGGGAAAAAATGAAAAAAAAAAAAAAACCGTGAGAGTAGTATGGTAGTGGGAGTAGTACCTGTATTTGGATAAAATTGATCTTTCATAATTGTTATCACTCTACCAATGTGATAACCAGGATCGAGTAATAAAATTCCATAACGTGTACCGATTTTAATTTTAAGTGCAACCAAAACATGTTCCTTTTCAGAAATGTCAATTTTCGGATCTGCCTTTGTATATCCTTTCACATCGACAATGGCCTGGAAATAAAAAATCAATTAACGTAAATTGTTTTTTATGAAAACAAAAATTTATTATTGTTAACAAAAATACCTCTTCGCACGAAACTAAATAAAATTTATCCTTTAAACCTGGATATTTTTTTTCTAAAAATTTTAATTTTTTAAGTAATTCCAAACCTAATCCGACGCAGGTATGATGTTCGGGTGTTATCGGTGGATTATACGTTCTGAAAAAATTTTCAACTTTTGTTTCTCCACTTTTTCTATAAGATTCATAAAATCTAAAAAATAAAATAAAAATTTATTTACAATTAAATTACCAATAATCAGTATTTAGCTTATCAGTAAAAAAAGTAAACAAAAATATGAGTAAATGTAAACATGAATCATACACATACAAACACACACACACGTAAATCAAGGCCAATAATAATAAAAACCGTTATTGTACCTTATTTTCGTACCTTATAAAATTGCCAACGGTATTATAATTGTGTGCCTGTATAAGTTGTTGAACTGTTAATTCTACCGAAGCAGCCAATTCTTCGTATTGTTCAACAGAAGACACACAAAATGATCCCTTTGATTTTGACCATTTCGGTATCGGTAGGGGATGAGTTTCTGGCCAATAATTATCATTATTATTATCATCGTTGAATTTTTTTTCATTGTTTCGTGAATTGTCGCCGTTGTCGTCATCGTCGTCGTCCTCTCGGACGTATCGTTCCGGTGGTTTTTTTTCAACCCATGACCCTGTTTTTTTAACAGGGGGTATCAAATTTCCATTTTCATTATTTACGAGTCAACTCGGCCATTCGCTACCCCAACGGCCAACTGAAGGTGACCATTCATGTTCTTCCCTGTTGTTGCTTATTGGCTCCACAGGGGGTTCTGGATGTAACAAGTTTTTATCTTGCTCTGTAATAATAATAATAATAATTAAACAAAGTTCAAAGGTTGTTTTTTTTTTTTTTTGCGTTTTAAATAATTATTGACGAATGGAATGATTCATTCATTGTATTTTTTTTGTCGGTCATAAGCTAAACAGAAAAAAAATTATATTCGAATGAAATTTTATGATTCTTATAAATTTTTCGTAAGAGAACATGAGAAAATTTAATTAATTATCATAACGAATGCGTGTTATGTAAATTAATCACGTTTTTTTTTTTTTTTTCATAACTAAAATAAGATTCGATAATAAGAAAAATTTTAAAACGCAATTATAATTTCCTGGGGCTGGGGCGGGGAGTGGGGGGGTCTTTAGAACGACAACAACAAAAAAAAATTTTATTAGGTCAAAAAAAAAAAAAATTTTTGTCGACGTTGTTTAAAATTTTTTTTTTTTTTTTTTTAACAACAACAACAAAATAATTGATTTTATAATAATAATAATAATAGTACTTACCCATACAATGAAAAACTCAAACGCGTAATTTTTTTATTAAAAAAAAAAAAAAAAAAAAAAAAAAAAAAAAAAAAATAAAAAAAAGAAAATGTCTCGCCCTCGCAACTTTTTTTCTTATTCTCTCGTTTAAATAATAATAATAATAATAGTAAAAAACTTTCGCGTTTTTTTTTTTGTAGTTTTTTAAAACTTTGTGTTGTTAAAAAAAAAAAAAAAAAAAAAAAAAAAAATAATCCAATAAAATTTTTTTAAACACAGTTAATAAGTCATCGAGGGAAATGTACGTGAATAAGAGTATTTATAGCTTTGATATCCCCACTTTTGTTGTTTTTACGTTAGATACGTCACTGATAAATGTTTAGTTCTATGCTTGAATTTATGCCAATGGCACTCACTCATTTTGTTTTCTATTTCTTTTTTTTTTCTTTTAAATATATATTAATTTGTTTTCTTTTAACACGAATAATAATAATAATAACAACACGTCCATTTGCTTTCAAACTTCTCACTACGATGATGATGATGATGATGATGACATGACTTTTTTTCTATATATTTTATATTAGCACAGGCTCTCATGCGCTCTTGGTACTATTTTCTTTCTCTTTCTTTTTTCTTTCTTTTCCTTTTTTTTTTATTATTTGATCGATACGGGAAAATGGGGGGAGGGTAGGGTAGGGTAGGGGACGGTAGGAAGAAAAAAAAAATCGATTTAAATTTTATTTAATATTATTATTATTAAATTCAATCATGAGAATAATGACTCAATCGTAGGATTTTAAAAAAATATAAAACGTAATATTAACAGTAATAATAATAATAATAATGATAATAATAATAATAATACGATTGGGTTAATAATAAAAAAAAAATGTCAAGGTTTTCTTTTTCCTTTTAATTGCAATAATAATAATCATAATTAATTAGTTATTAAATACGATAGTCGTAAATCCTTGAATTTAGTATAAAAAGTTATTAAATTTTAACCGCAAAATATTATTAAAATGTGGGGAGGGGAGGGGAAAACTACGCATTTTTTTTATCATTATTACAAATCAATATTTTTCCTTTTTACGCACTATTAAATTTCAAATTTTTTAAATAAATAAATAAATAAAAGGGGGGGGGGCTTTATTTAAAAATGTTTACGAGGTAACCATAAAATCAAGGCCGTGAAAACAGAAAAAGAAAAACAAATTATTATTATTAATAATAATTATACGCATATTATTTAGAGAGGGGGGAGGGGACGGGAGGGGAGCGGCAACGACTTTAAAGAAAATATGGATAAAAGATAATAATATTATTTTTTTTAATGATATCGATAAAAATTAAATCATTATTATTATTACTATTACTCATCATAGGGCTAGATAACTTTATTTATTTACCAAAATTATTATTATCATTATCACTATTATTATTATTATTATTATTAACAATTTTATATGTTTATTTACTTTTTTTTTTTTTTTTTAAATTATCTAATTAATTTTCTCTTTCTGATGAAAGAGAAAATTAATTAGATAAAGTTAGAAAAAAGTAAATAAACATATAAAATTGTTAATAATAATAATCATAATCATAATGATAATAATAATGATAATGATAATATTTTTAATTAAAATGATTTTCGGTTACGGATCAACTTTTAAATAAATAAATAACACTCGTTTAAAACTACTAAAAATTTTTTTTTATTGGCTTATTATTATTATTATTATTATTATCGTCATCATCGACAACACAAATACAATTTTTAAATTTGCCATTAATATTAAATAAATTAAAAAAAAAAAAGAAGCATTCGTTTCGTTTTCTCAATATTAATTTACTTCTCAGTCAAAATATTCTTCATCTTCTTCGTTTCATTCAGTCGGTTTTACCTATTATTATTATTATTATTATTATTATTATTTTCAATAATTTTTTGTTTTATGAGTTTTAGGAGTTTTAGTTTGAGTTTTGAACTTTTTTCCCCGTGATTTTCTTCGTTTGATTATTATTTTTCTTTTTCATTTCTTTTTCTTTTCTTTTTTTTACCAACGGTTGATCGGAACTGAAAAAATAAACAAAAACAAACAATTTAATAATGAAACGAACAAACAAACAAACAAACACAACAAATTCGTTAATAAATTTATTAAACAAAAACAAGCAAACATGAAATAATAAGACGTTAATTTTATATTAGCCACGCCCCCCCGCTTCGACACTCTCGCCCCGCCCCCTTCTTGCAAACACAATCACCACCGGAAAAATTTTGTAAATTTAGATGTAATTTTGACAAAAATAATAATAATAATAATAATTGACTGTGTTTTTTTTTTTTTGTCTTGTGTACCGTAATTATTAAGAACCGGAAGTGCGGGTATAACGTTTTTTTTTTTTACCGTAATAATTCACGTAGTGGTTAATTAAAAATTATTCATCACACTATTTACAATCAGTCAGTCAATCAGTCAGTCGGTGAGTGATTTGAATTTTTTTTTTTTTTTCTGGAGTAGAATGGTAAAGTATCGTTGTATTCAAGTACATAAGTTAAGTACTTACTTGAATTGTTTTTTTATTTCCCCTACTAATAAACCACCCAAATTACAACATAACACATATATATTCAGGCATGCCTGGCGTAGGATCTGAAAATAACATGGCGTATTTGTCAACTTAAGAAACCTAATTTTTTTTTATAAAATAAGGGATGAATTTACAGGGGTTGATACGTAAGAGTTAGAGTTACACAAAACAATCATTTATTAACTGTTAATAATTAATTAATTAATAGCATATTTTTTTGTTAATATTTCATTTTCTCTCTCTTACCTGTGGGGACGAGGGGACGAGGGGGTTTAGGTAATTATTAATATCAGAGAAAAAAAATTTGTTTTGATTTTTTTGTTAAATAAAATAAGCAATCGATGATGGAAAATTTGCGCAAATGATTAAGATGAGAATTATATGGAATTTTAAATAAAAAATGTTTTATTATTATTAATTTTATGAAGTTTTCACCGACCAATGAGATTCACAAGATGGCGGCAAAGCAAAAATTATTGCAAGTTTTTTGTTTATAATCTGTATAATAATAGTTTAAGGGGTTATTCTTAAAATTGTTATAATAATTTATTTACAATTAGGTTAAATCAATTAATAGCATCAATTTTTAATTAATTAGAGAGAGAGAGAGAGAGAGAGAAAGAGAGAGCCTTTCCATACTTTTTCTTACCTATATGAAGTAATGGCGGGATAATGTCTTCTCGATGTTAACCTCGATCGTGGCGGATATCTTTTAAATAATAAATTATCTTTTTTTTATAATAGTTTTTAACAAAAAAAAAAAAAAAAATAATAACACAAAAAAAAAAAAAAAAAAAAAAAAAAGAAAAAAAATTTTTTTTTTTCTTGCAATACACAAGAATTTATTATGAATTGAAATTCAAGGGTTAGGGGGGGTTTGTGAATAACTTCGGCCTTTTCGCGTTTGACTCGTTTTTAATTCTTTCTTTTTCTCTGATTTAGAATTTTCGGGAGTCTTCTTTTTTCGGGACCTGAACAGGGGGAAAAATGTAAAGGAGGGAAAGTAAAAAAAAAGAAAATTCATGCTTAAAATTAAAATATTCAAAGGGATTATTGGATTATTGACAAATATTTGACATTCTGTTTGTACACTGAGGAAAAACAAAAAAATCTCACCTATCTAAAATAGCAGGAATGTCGTCACGTTGACGTCGACTGCGCACACGAGATTGACCATATCCAATTGAGTTACCTCCACTACGAGCTCTTGTCTCCCATTCACGATTAAAATCGTCAGCCTCATCTATAATTATTCAAAAGTAATTAAAAATTAGTAACAATAATAATAATGATTTCAATTTATGAATGCAAGAAAAAAAAAAAAAAAAAGTAAGGACCTTCGTCTAAATTAATAAACTCTTGTCTTTCCTCCATTTGGCCGGAATGCATATTTTGTTCCCTCTCCATTACATGTGAGCGATCTCCAATGTGATGGCCAATGGCTAATTTTTTTGTACCAGTTCGTGAGTCGCATACGGATTTTTGAGTTTCTCGAATACCACCTGGAGCAGTTCTAGTCGACTGTGATGCTTGGTAAACTTGTGGACGACCATCTGGTCCACTGGACATTGTCATTACTGTGCTCGAGCTGAAGGAATGACAATTAGGATCATTGGTGTTTATTTGCTAAAAATTAAAAAAAAGCAAATTAGAAATAGAGGTAACAATATATTCTAATATTTAATATTCAATTACTAAGCATTAGAAAGATACATTACATTTAAATTTTTAAAAAAAGGATGGGAGAAAAATGAAAAACTTACAAAATTTTGAAAAATGTCATTCATATTTCGAAATCCAAAAGGCATAAGATCTCGACCATGTCCACGATGACCTGATCCACCGAATCCTCCAAACATTCCAAATGGATCACCAAGCATTGAATTCATCATTGAACTCATTTGATGCATTGGATTCATATGTGTCCTAAATTGCAAACATTTTTCAAAATGGTTGATTTTAATAAAATTGTAATCAAAAAATTACAAAACATATTTGTATTTGTATTTTAGCAAAATAGTTTCATGTGAAAACTTGCAAGAATGATACCAGTTTTTTTGTTTTTAAGAGTTCCAAAAATTTTTTCTTCAAGTAAATAGAAATAAATACTACTAGTTTTTAAGAGGAATTGTACTGGGTATAAATTTATGAATGCAATTCTTACCTATTGTTTGTACCAGTATTATGGTTTTGATATTGGGACTGCCTGTTATCGTTGTCACTGTCATTGTCACTGTCAGCAGGAATCATATATGCAATTGAATTTTTTTTGTTAGATTTCATTTTTTAGAAAACTGGGAACACCAAATTCAAAGAATTTTCTTTTTTTTATCTTAGTTTCAAATAAAAAATATTTAAGGGAATTAATTAAATAATTTTTT